AAAATACTTGAATTAACAGTCACTGTCAATATCTTCTCTTCTTCTTTCCTTCCTGCCTTGTTTGTTGTTTTTAGCTGCTGTTGAGTCTGCCCTAAATCATGGGGACCTCATGCATAATGGAATGAAATGCTGCTTGGTCCTACACCATCTCCATGATTGGTTGTGGTTCAGACCGTTGCGATCCATAGGGTTTTCATTGGCTGACTTTTGGAAGTAGACAGCCAGGCCTTTCTTCCTAGTCCTAGCTTCCTAATCTGGAAGCTCTGCTGAAACCTGTTCAGCATCATAGCAACATGAAAGCCACTACTGACAGGAGGTGGCTGTGCATGAAGTGAACTGGCCAGGAACCTTATTTATTTATTTATTTTTACTTAAATAATTGCAAGCCCAAGGGCTTCCCTAGCTAATACCACTGTCTTTGTTTGAACTAGAACAAAGTGCCCTCTATGGGTTTACTAATTAGAAAAAGTATCTTTATCTGGGTGGATGTGGCCCCTTGTTTTGGGCTTAGGAAACAGAGTACACCTTTGTGTGAAGAAAAAGGTGCCCCTCCCTGTAGGAGGAAGCATCCAGGGCCAGAATGAAGAGCTTGGAGAACTGAGTGCAGAGTTGGGATTTCAGATTCCACTCACCCCATCAGCTGGCACAAAATTCTCTGGAACATGCTCCTGGCTGGTCTCCTTGGTCTCACCTTGCCAATTCTATTGCATTCAGCCAGAGTGATTTTTTTTTCAAGACATAAAGCTAATCATATCACATTCTGGTTAAACCTTTCTGTGTTTCCCCAGTGACTTCAGGATAAAGTCCAAAGTCCTTGACTTGAAAACAAAGGCCGTTCACGACAGCTCTTTCTCAGCCTCTTCTCCAGCCACTCTTCTTCACCATCCTCTCGCCAGATGCAGCTCCCTGAATGGCTGGTGCACCAGCGACTCCCTCACTCCCTGTCCAGCAACCACCTGCCTCTCTCTCTCTCCCAAATGGCCAGACTGTCTGGTTTCTCTGAGATTTACTCAGATCATTTCAAGGAAGCTGCGCTGACTCCAGTCTGACTCTGAACCACCTCCGTACACCCTTCTTTCTGCAAAGCCACCTCGGTCCCAGCACTTACAGGCTGGTCTGCTTCCCTGTCTGTGACCTCCTTGAGGACCAGTAATGTGGTTTGTCCATGTCTTTTTACTCCAGCACCAGTAGGTAGGCACCTGGTTCATGCTTGTCATATGGACAAATGACAACATGACTTACCAACAAATGAAAAGCATAGATTTTACTACAAAAAAAAATCTAAATTTTGCTGCTTTCTGAAAATAAGGTATTCAGTCAGTTGTCAAAGGCATTCATTTTCCATACTTTCCTGTAGCCTTGAAATGGGTATTTACTTAGGAGGTTAATGATGTAGGGGAAGATAATTCCTTTAGCTTATTTTACTTCCTGAGGCTTTATTGCAAGGCTGATTTGCTCTGTCTGGTATGACCCCTTCTTTCTCTCCGATTTCTCCCTTTTGGAATAAGAATATCTACCCTGCGCCTGTACCACCATTGTTTTTTGGCAACAGATAACTTGTATTCATAGGTCCACCAGTGGAAAGGAATTTTGCCCCAGAATGGACCGCAACCAGAGTTTCACCTCTACCTGATTTAGATTTAGAGGGTGAGATTTTGGACTTAAGGGTTGATGCCGGAATGGGTTAAGATTTTGGGGGCTGTTGGGATGGGTTGAATGTATTTTGCATGTGGGAAGGACATGAATTTTGGGGGTCAGAGGGCAGACTGTCATGGATTGAATCGTGTCCCCCAGCAAAACATATGCTGAAGTCCTAACCCCTAGTACCTGTGAATGTGACTTTGTTGGGAAATAGGGTTTTTGAAGATGTTACCAGTTAAGTTAGCATGAGGTCATACTGGAATAGGATGGATCCTAGTTCAATCTGAATGCCGTCCTTATAAGGGATGGAAACAAACACAGAGAGACATACATCGAAAACACTGCCATGTGAAGATGCACCTACAAACCAAGGAATGCCAAGAAATGCCTCCAGCTACCAGAACCAGGAGGAACAAGAAATAATCTTCCCCTAGAGTGTTCAGAGAAAGCATGGTCCTACTAACATCCTGAATTGTTGAATAGCAAAGATGTCGCCTTGAAGACTAAGGTGCGCCTGATGCAAGCTGTGGTGTTTTCAATTGCCTCATATGGATGCGAAAGCTGGACGATGAAAAAGGAAGACAGAAGAAGAATCAGTGCCTTTGAATTGTGGTGTTGATGAAGAATATTGACTATACCATGGACTGCCAAAAGAATGAACAAATCTGTCTTGGAAGAAGTACAACCAGAATGCTCCTGAGAAGCAAGGATTGTGAGACTACGTCTCACATACTTTGGACATGTTATAAGGAGGAACCAGTCCCTGGAGAAGGTCATCATGCTTGGTAGAGTAGAGGGCCAATGAAAAAGAGGAAGACCCTCAACAAGATGGGTTGACACAGTGTTTGCAACAATGGGCTCAAACACAGCAACAATTGTGAGGATGGTGCAGGACCAGGCAGTGTTTCGTTCTGTCGTACGTGGGGTCGCTATGAGTCGGAACCGACTTGATGGCACCTAACAACAACAGTAACGGCATCCAGAACAGTGAGACAATACATTTTTGTTCTTGTATGCCACTTGATTTGTGGTATTTTGTTACAGCAGCCCTTGGAAACTAATATAGTTTGGTTTTTGATTATATCATGCATTTGATCTTTGTGAGATGCTTAAAAAAATCACCTGTCTATTGATCTAGGAAATGTACTTAATTTCTTTAAAAACGTTTCACTTTGGGGGCTGGGGGGTTTTGCCCGGTTGCCAAAATAGATGCCATCAATGATGTCACTGATGGTGGTGTCATTTGTTCAAAATGCTACATCTGCCCAGTGATGAGCTTTGAAATGCTTACATAGGCTATCAAAAGGTTTTGCTTGGAACTTCCAGCACAACTTGTATATATTTGTTTATATATATATTGAAGCAGCTGTGAGAATATGTTCAATAAAAAAAGAAACAATTGAATTGGAAAATATCACTTAAATTTCAACAACAACAACAAAATAAAATGGTAGTAGTAGGCCGAGACAAGGAGCTGGAGGTGTGTGTTGTAGATGTGCATAAATTTTGACGTAGTTGATATTATGCTTTCTTGGGACAACACAAAAATGGAAATTCATTCTGCCACATTGTTTTCATTGTCTATGGGGAAAAACAGTGATTATCATTTTCTCTTCATAGAAGCCACGGCGTTAAGGAATGGAGATCAAGGCCAAGTACGTGCTTTATAGATATCGATTTTTTTCATCCTTTTGACAGTCAATTAAAAATATTTCCCATGATTTTCATCAGTAATAGTTTTCACTATTTCTTTTTCAGCTCATTTCTACAGTTCCCAATAGTATTTTAGGCTCTTTGGCTGTGACTCTTTTAGTCATTTTTTGAAAATAAATGAGTAGTTACTGATTTAATGTTTAGTTATGACTGTTAACTATTACACAAGAATTGGGGTATGCACACTTGTTTTTCTCTTGTGGTCTTTCTCTTCACACCCTCACATCCTACTCTTACACATACTTGGCTCATGGGAATAACTATTTAGAGATAAGCTTAGATGGAGGCTTAATTTCTAGTTTTGGTTTGAATTCTATGATGTGCTGCAGTTACCTTATCTGTCAGGTAAAAACTTGAACTTCTAAAGAACAATATGTTCTCCAAACGCAAGATGTAATTATTATAAAGAGGGTATTAATCCATATATTAATTGATTCCTATAGTAAAAGTAAATGTACTTTCCATTTTCCACAAATTGTTTCCCTTTTAAATATGCCTCATATCCATCTTCTGCAAAATGAAGTTGCACATAACATCTCATGCTGTTATATCCAAATACGCTTCCTTCCTCCCTTTCTTTAAATATTTCTTGAGTGACTCATGGAGAATGTAAGAAAGAGAGACGTACACACCCACAGAAACGGGACACATACTGTCTTAAAGAATCCCTCCCCAGCATGCCTATGTCATCTAAATGCAGCACTAGGCTTTTAATGGGGACTCCAAATATTTGTAGATTTGAACATGCATTTTAAAATAATTTCATCATAACTATCTTTATTTCAACAGTAATGGACAAGCAGTGTCTATTAGTAGCATATTCCTGCTTTCAAAGTTCTGAAGCCAGCTCTGACCTCAAGGAAAAGGAACCATTTTTAAAGTCTATTTGAATCTATTCATTTGTCCATTCATGCAAAAATTAACTATGGGGAAAAGGTAAAATGTAGGAAAGGGGATAAAAATCAGAATACTCTTCTGCTTCTTTTCTGTTCTGGCAGGTTCAAAACCAATAATGTAAGTGTTCACTGAAGTAGTCTCAAAAGATTGCAAGCTCCTCTAGCACAGTGTCTGACACATAGTAAGTGCTCAATGAATACCAGTTTATTCATTACAATGTAACGGGCTGTATCTAGAGGACTCCTTTCTTTCTACTTGATTCACCATTCCATTTTCTTTTTTTCTCTTTTGTGCTTCAAGAAGGGTCTGCATGTGCTTTGTTTTCAGAATCTGTAAAATGGGTTCAATGCTTAATTACCTAGTAAAATGCAGGCAAGAATCTAGGTCAGAATTTTCCTTAAATCTCTTCTCTGATTTAAGACACTTCAGGGATGAGATATATGAGATCCTATGTCAACGGATGATGATTTTTAGCTTTACAAGTGACCCACAATCCGGTAGCGGGCGCAGTGAGAAATTAAGAAAATAGCACACTTTTATCGCTGTCATTTCACATTCACTCAAATCTGAACTGGAATGCCACAAAAACAACTCCCTGTTAGCCCAGAGGAAAAAAAAAAAAAAAAGAAAGAAAGTAAAGGGGAAATTTAGATTAGTCACAAAGAAGTTCCCCCGCCTGCCTGCAAAAGCTGAAGCGTTAAAACTGAGACAGTCCTCTCTGCTCTTTCAATCGTCTTTTATCTCTGGTCCTGGGACCTCTGTGTATTTTCTGATTGATACTCTTTGTTTTGCCTTCACCTCCTCTTTTGTGGGGGAACAGGTTAGCCCTCCCCCGGGTTCCTCTTGCTGCAACTTTCATCTTCCCTGCATCCAGGCTGTGAAGATGGAAAGGGTCCAACCCCTGGACGAGAATGTGGGAGATGTGCCAAGGCTGAGATTCGGGAGGAACAGTCTATTGCTGGCGACCTCTGTGATTCAGTGGCTGGGCTTGCTGTTGTGCCTAACCTACATCTGCCTGCACTTTTATGCTTCTGAGGTAAGACGCACTGCCGGGCATTTATCCCTCCAGCTCGTGCTGCTGACAGCTCCAGCAGCTGCAAACGGTCACTTGGAAATGATCTGATGCCAAAATTGTTAGAAGTGGTTTCTTTTCCCCCTCCACAATTTTAAAGTGTGGTCAGACACCCTTCTGTCTCTTCTTTCCTTCCTTCTTTGCAGTGGTGGCAGTGGCAGGGCAGAGTGGAGGTAGGGCAGGGACAATGCTTTGAGATTATTCTCTTTTTCTTTGCAATTCAAGGATCTTGGTATTCCTTCATGAGCTCAATTTTGAAGCTCTGAATCACTGATGTACTGGGTTTATCCACCCTGCTACTAATGTGTCTCATCAGGGAATTACTATAAAAAGGAAATTAGGGACCACTACCACTTTCCCATCACATTAATACACTCCATATACATAAAAGGAGGTTTTGTTTTTTTTAAGAATGCCAAAAGTATCTATTTAAATCCTTTTAAATATCTTAACCTGTGCATTTTAAGGGCAGGGATGTGTGTGTGCATGGGTGTGCTTGTGTGTATGTACACATGTCCTGTCATTTACCCCAACGATTAAATCAGATATTGTTTCTAGCAGCCTGTCTCTACCAATCACAATGTAAAGACATCACCTGGTATTTTTTCCAGTTTGTCCAATACATGATGCAGTGGGAGATCATTGGTCTAGTATTTTTCCCACTTAAGATATTCTTCCCATTTTTCCTTCTCTTTATTCTAGTCCCATGCATCCCCCTTTAATAATTTTTTTTTCTTATTTATTTGTTCAGATATACAAACCTTATTAGGTTTTTAAGGAAGTTCTCGATGGCAGGAGACTCCATTGAAAAGAAAATAAATCCCCATTCACCTTGCGTTCTCTCTCGCTGGGGTTATTCCGATAATTCTTGTGTCTTGGCTGGCTGCTTTGGGTTGGAAAAGTCTCTCCCTGGTAAAAGACAGTAGGAGCTTGTATTCCTGACCGCCGTGTCCAAAACTGGGTACCCCAGAGTAACGGAGGATGAGATGAGCAGAGTGCTAGCAGATGTCTGGCCTTATCTCTGCCCACAGAAACTGAGCGTTTGCGGTGCAGGGAGGCTGGTGGGAGTCTGGTTGTGATTGCAGTACCGCGGAGAGTGCTTGCGTCTACGAACTCTACAGGCGTAGCGGGTCACGCTCCCATCTCCAGACTGGTTAATCCGACAACACGCTCATCTTCTGCTCACCACACCACTGTTTACTGCTCTTTGTGCAGAACCTTGGGAGTGAAATCAGAGCAGGCGATTTGAGGAGGGGGGATGTGGGGGAGGAGTAACGTGTCCATGGCAGGATGCCCAAGGCAGAGACAGAAATTGGGCTCTTCCAAGAAGAAAACAAACACAGTAACCAAAAATAGAACAGCTGAGTGCATTTGCCAGGTCTGGGAGCCTTAAAGCTTTATTTCAAACAACCACAGCATTACACACTTCCTTACACCGTGGGATGATAAAACGACAGGACAAAAAGGCTAACCAATTGCATTAGGGCTCTGAGCAGGAGGAAGCAAAAGGTGAAACTTACATGTATAATAGCCTGCTGGTGGCAGGGGCCGCCCACGGAGGATTGATGCCCAGGGGACACTGAGAGGAAGAGGTGTCCTTTCTGGCAAGGCGCCCAACCGCCCTGTGACAGCGCTGGGAAGGAAAGCTGAGCGCTGGCTTCCAGGACTCTAGAACTCACAATACGCCTATCTCTGGGAGAGAATTAACTTTTTCCAGCCTTGGTGCAGTCTTCCAGGAAAGATCAGGCAAGTTCTGCAGAAATAGAAGCAAAGACATAGGAGGTGCATTAAAACTGTGCGTTGAAGAAACTCATTCTCATATACTGGGGATCCAGAAATATTTCTAGCCCAGATAGTTGAAATTCATTTGACATTAATTAAAATTTTTCTTTTCTTATTTCTAGCTCGACTGTTTTAGCTAATGTGATTTTTCATAATGTTACAGGATCCAGGGCAACGCAATGGGTCCTTACGTTTAATCTCATATACTTTGTTACGGGGCAGGATAGCACAGACTGGTTGCGTCT